CCTTCAGATGGAGTCAGAACCCTTCAGGTGGAGCCAAAACCCTTCTGGTGGAGGAGCCAAAACCCTTCAGGTGAAGCCAAAACCCTTCAGGTGGAGCCAAAACCCTTCAGGTGGAGTCAGAACCCTTCAGGTGGAGTCAAAACCCTTCAGGTGGAGTCAAAACCCTTCAGGTGGAGTCAGAACCCCTCAAATGGAATCAAAAACCTTCAAGTGGAACCAAAATCCTTCAGATGAAGCCAAAACCCTTCAGGTGCAACCAAAACCCTTCAGGTGGATCCGAAACCCTTCTGGTGGAACCAAAACCCTTCAGGTGGAGTCAGAACCTCTCAAATGGAATCAAAACCTTTCAGGTGGAGTCAGAACCCCTCAAATGGAATCAAAAACCTTCAAATGGAGCCAAAACTCTTCAGATGGAGCCAAAATCCTTCATATGGAGCCAAAATTCTTCAGATGGAGTCAACAGGCACTGAGAGACAACCGGGCCAGAGGCATGACCTGGCTGGAGACACAATCAGGTTCTCTCCCCTCCTCTGCCTGGGCTGGGATTTGAAGAAAAATAGATTTTCTTGTCAAACTTTAGGAGCAAAAAGGCCTTTCCCAACAGCAGGATAAAGGAATTAAACTGGTGTCGCATCCCTGGTTCTGGAGGACGTTGGGAAGAGGCCTCGGGATCGATCGAGGTGGTTTTCCTGGGATGTGGGTTGGGCAAATCCCCGTGGGATGAAGAGGAGAAGGGGCTGCAGCTGCGATCCCCCCCCTGAGCTCTGCCCTGTGAATCCATCGTGGAATTGTCACGTTGAGGCCAGAAAAGACCTCTGAGGTCCTCGAGTCCAACCAGAGGTGACCCAGGAGGACGTTGAAGATCTCAAGGACCCGGACGAGGCAGCTTTTAAATCTTGTGTGTCCCCCCCCCTCCTTCCAAACCATCTGGAGCCGCTCGGAATTCCCGCTCCGGGAGCTTCCAGGACGTTGATCCCTTGTGTGGAGCCCCCAGCTCCGGGAGCCTTTGGGATGTGGTCGTTGATCCCTTGTGTGGAGCCCCCAGGTCTGTGGGGTCCCCCCTGCCCATCGTGTGTCCCCTGTCCCCCCGTCCCCTCCCGCTGTGTCACGACCCCGCTGTGCCCGCAGGACGTGTTCGAGATGCGCTTCGCCAAGATGCCGGACGAGCCCGAGGAGCCCGTCGTCCTTCCCGCCTCCTCGCCCGCCGTGGTGCCGCCCCCCACCAAGGTGGCCCCGCCCTCGTCCAGCGACAGCAGCAGCGACAGCTCCTCCGACAGCGACAGCTCCTCCGACGACTCCGAGGAGGAGCGGGCGCAGCGCTTGGCCGAGCTGCAGGAGCAGGTACCGCG